TTCAACAAGGGGACTGCTGTTACGAAGTGGCAACAGGGCCGGTTCCTAAGCTCGCTCTGCAGCCAGGTAGGACAGTGTGACCAGGTCTCACCAATGAAAGGCAAGCGAAACTTAGGATGACTTATAGCCAAACGTGTTAAGAAGCCGTCTCCTGTACCTTCTCCACTCCCCTTCAGTGCTGACCTTGGAACTTAGGTGTGGGGTAGCAGAACCTAGGTGGAAATAGTCTGGATTCCTGAGTGACTACAGGCCACCATTCCTCTGCGCTTAAGTCATTCCCAACACAAGCCTCTTCATGTCTACCAAGGCACTACAAGAATGAAACATTTATTTTAGGAGGATTGGCTGTTTCCTGAGTTTATGAATACATCTAAACTTGAAGACACGTCAAAACTAAGTTTCAGCTTAACTATTACAAATAACAGTCTAGCTTCCTCTGTAGCAGAGGGTGACCTTGAACTTCTGATCCTCTAGCCTCCGCTTCCCACTTACTGTGACAACAGGCAGGCAGGCGTGCGACCAGTGTGCGACCAGTAATAGCCAGTAATAGCGCACAGAACTAGAGATTAAACAGGGATCCCTGCATGCTAGAAAAGTATTTTATGAAGTAACTGTCATCCCCAGGCTAGGAATTTTTTTTAAGTTACTCCAAACTCTCTCTCTCTCTCTCTCTCTCTCTCTCTCTCTCTCTCTCTCTCTCTCTCTCTCTGTGTGTGTGTGTGTGTGTCTGTGTGTGTTTAAAAATTTCTACCAGGACTGAAGGAATGGCTCAGCGGCTAAAAGCACTTGCTGTTCTTCCAAACTCAGCTGAATTCCTAGCACCAGGCAGCTCACAGCTGTCAATAACTCCAACTTCAGAGAAATCTGATGTCTGAAGGTATCTGCACTCATGTGTACATACCCACGTGCAGGTAGACACACACCTAGGTCACACCTAGGATGTGAGGATTTGGGTTCAATTTCTTCTCTTTTAAAAGAGAGCAAAATTCCTAAAGAGGAAATCTCTTGCAGTGGAGGTTGGATTTTTGTTGTTATTGTGTTTTTAAAGAGGGTCGGTTCACAGAACGTTCCTTTTCTGCGAACGAAAAGAAACCCAGCAAAGTTGACTTTCTGCTGATGAGCACGCACTATACGGCCATGGTTATAAAATGATAGGCTTAGAGTCTCCTTTCCCCTCTGTAACCTGTTGAAAAGGTATTGACTTAGTGATACTCGGCAGTGCAGAGGAAAGAGAAACAATTTGGCTTCAAACACTGATAAGATCAGTGCCAATATTGTTCGGCAAACTTAGTCTCAGTTTCCTCTCACGGAAAAAACACATCTCATTAGATCCAAAATATCATTGATTATAAGATGTACGGGCAATTTGATTAAAGTGATCACTAAGCTAAGCAGTTTTGAGTAGCTGTTTTTGAGTAAAGCAACAGAATTACCGTTATGTGAACAATTAGTATGACACTAGAGTCCAAATGTTCCAGAAAACAAAAGTAAATTTTTCCTCATTAAAAAGTATCTAATCTGAGAAAATCCTTGAAATAAATGTCTGCTGAAGCTACGCTGCTATTCATGTCTATTAAATTTATCATTCTCACAAAAGCAAATCTGAACTCAAGGTCCAATTACAGTAAAAGACGCCTACTGTGTCGCCCTCCTAAATACTTCTGAAAAACAGTGATTAAAAACAAAATAGTATTTCCCTCCAGAAGATTGGAGGTTCACATATACTTAATCAAGGGTGAAAGAACTTATTTTAATTTTGAATTAAAATGTTAATTTGGGAGTCTTTTTGAGTTTAGCAGGAGTCAAAAGGGTGTGGATGTGTAGTGTAAGACATGAGCATAATATACAATAACAAAAGCATAAGATGAACGGAGTAAACATGTTGAGTTAGTAATGTGTGCGGAGTATCGCAGGGCTCGGGAAGAACCATTCGGTGAGGAGACACAGCTTCAGTCTGAGGAAGGTAATTTGCTAAACCAAGGAACTGTACTTTGGAAAATACCTGGATAAGGAACCCAACTATCCAGAGACTAAGAATCAACGCTCCCCTTTTCCATTTTCTTTGCCTTTTCCTTCGCTTAATTCCTCTGGCAGGAACCGGACAAGTTGGCTGCCAAAGACCATCCTTACTAACTCCTGAGGCAGGAGTTAAATACAAACATACCACCAGGCATTTACCTGGAGAAATGTTCATTAGCGTCTACAACCATTAGGGGAAGGTTTGGGAAAGCTTTAAAATGGAGGTGTCAGGATGCTGACCCCGTCACACTTTATTATTTACGTGTCAACATCACATGCTCCTGATGAGGTAGACGCCCTATCAAGTACACCCCCTACCCATCACTATTGCACACAGAATTAAAAAACAAACCAACCATCTCATCAGGCTCTCCGCCTCTATGCATATGCACACGTTTCCAAGAGACAGGGCAAATAAACCAATTAAGCAGCATAAAAGACCAAATGCATAACAACACAATGGACCACATCTAAGACATACCCCTAACAAGGTAAGTATCACATGTCTTCAATGAATCATTAGCCTAGAAAGAAGCGAATAATGATCACCGGAGAACAGAAACCCACGTGTGTGGTCATAAATACAAATGGGAGACTAGTTTAGCCCTTTGTGACAGTTTCTAAGATGGCATCTTTGAAATCACCCAGCAAACTTGAGCGCGAGCTGAGGATCAGGCGATGTACAGGACTTTTATTAACATTTCCATATTTCCTAAGGGTTGGGTCGTTAGTTTTCTGCTGTTTCCGAAGTACTTTTCACGGAAACTAAGCTGCGACAAGCGGTTCTGGAGCACTGTGCGGTCCGAGGCGAGCCTCCCCGAGTCCCCCCACCCCAGCCTCCCGGAGTTCACCACCCCAATCTCCCCGAGCCTCGCCGAGCCTCCGCCGCTCGCTGCCCCTCAGGCTCTACCGCGAGCCGTCCCGGCATGCCCCGCGGGCAGAAAGCAGAGACCTCACCGTCCAACCTAGGCGACTAGAGCAGTCCCCTTACCCGGCGTGCATCGGGCGCTCATTTGCATGCGCTCCCTCAGGTAAATCACGCAGGTCCACGCAGGCAGCACGACCTCCACTCGGCAACCGTGTTTACGAGCCGAGACACAAGACTTTAATAAGAAGACCTCTCTTAAGTCTCTATGCACCCCGAAAACATATTGATAAAAATCACCCTAATGTAAATAGATAGAAATTAGTGGCCCTTATATAGCTCTTGAATACACCGAAGACTCGTGCTCGCTTCGGCAGCACATATACTAAAATTGGAACGATACAGAGAAGATTAGCATGGCCCCTGCGCAAGGATGACACGCAAATTCGTGAAGCGTTCCATATTTTGCCAACTGGATTCCTTTACGTGCGTAGTTGTAAACTACATTACTTTGCACTCAGTGAAAGTTTGCTTACTTTTTCTAATGTGAGCATGGTTGTCTACGGCATTATAAAATAGGGATTAAGCTCACCCAAACCCGGAATACTTGAAGTGTACCTTTCTTTAATTCGAAAATAGACCTGAGTTTTTCTTCCCTACCCCGAAGCCCGGGGCCCCAGGAAGTTTAACATTCTCCCTCAGACTTCCCGGCGTGTGAACCGCGTGCTGGAGTCCCGGCAGGGACGCACCGGAGCCTCGCCGGTCTCTTCCCCGGCGTCCTGGCACTCTCTGCTGGTTCTGTCCACCTGAGTGTGCAACTGCTAAAAGCAGCCAGCGTTAGGATCTGTCTCCACAAACTGCATGTAGCCTCGAAAGGACACTAGCAAATGCTGCTCTCCACAAATTTGATAACAGCAGGTTTTAATTGATTAAAAAAAAACAAGTACCCGGGTCCAAAGACACGAATAAATGGGGGCACTTAAGAGTGACGTGTCCCGTTGCCTTGGAGACGCCGGAGGCTGTTGAGGGAGGGGCCGCTGCAAAAGGAAGAGGTCAAGAGTCGCCCAGTCGGTCGGTTCTTACATAAAGTATGCAAAATATGGAACGCTTCACGAATTTGCGTGTCATCCTTGCGCAGGGGCCATGCTAATCTTCTCTGTATCGTTCCAATTTTAGTATATGTGCTGCCGAAGCGAGCACGTATCTGGCTTCTGGACAAGGAATATATAAGGCACAATATCTCGGAAACTTTAAGACTACGGTGACTTAGTTACCGCGTGTTCTTGCACTCCCCGAGAATGGAAACGCATTTTCTTCACCAGAAATCTATGTCTATGCTCGTGACTTCGGATGCTAAGCGGAGAGCGCGTGGCAGCGTGGACCCGCGTGGTTTACCTCGGGGGGGAGGGGGTGGGACATGCAAATGAGCGCCCGGTGCACGTCGGGTAAGCGGCCTCTCCTGGAGTCTAGGTGGGACGGTGAGCTCCCTTAGCAAAGGGCTCTCCGGGCGCCCCGGGAGGCTCGCCCTTCCCTGACACCGGTCGGGGAGCTGGGGAAATGTGTGGCTGCTCAGTCTCCAGAGCCCCGAGTTGATCACCCTTCCCCCACCCCACTCCTATTAAACCTGTAACTCGTTACCGACGTCCCAGTGTGACGTAGGCGCCCGGAGCAGAGAGCTCTGACGTCTGCCCGGGGACAGGTGATCCCTCCCGTGCTCAGCCCCGCGGCTTCTGCACCTCCGGCGCGGATTCCGTCCGTACCGGCGACCACGCCCTTCCACTCTGCCCGGGCGGCCGGTCTCAGGTGACACCGGCCCGTGCACATTTTGCGCAGGCGCCGGTTGTGTCCAGGACCGAGGTCTGGGACCCAGGGCCGCACCCCTTCACAGGTGTCTGGCAGGCGCTAGCCTGTTGCCTGGCAACCAAACATCCGGCACGCAGATGGGAGGGCGGAAGCCCACCTCCTTGGCTGGAGAGGGGACTTTGAGAATGTACACTGCTCACTTTGGAGTAGAACAGCCGAACCGCTCTTGCACTTCCTTTCCTCTGCCTGCATATTAAGTGACATTTGCGTTCAACGTGTTAGCCCCGTAGCGATACAAATGTGTAAAACATACCTGCTTGCCGGAAATCGTTATTGTACTCGTAAACAACAGCAAAGCCTGTGCTGTTCAAGTCGTAACTCTGCGAGCTGTAAAATGAGGGACAAAGGTCAGAGCCTCTGATCGCTGGCGTGGTTTCAGCATTTCTCCGAATGAAGTCGGGGCAAAGGTCCTCACGCGTGCATATAATTAGCACCTCCGGTCGGCTGTGGCGTGGCACATACCTGAAATCCCCGCACAGGGGAGGTAATCACAGAAGAACCAGAAAGTCAAGGCCAGCCTCTCCTGCAGGCGACTACAAGCCCAGCCTGGAAGAACAGCTAAAATTCCTTCCAAGGGCAAGAACGATTCCCTCAGAGTTCACTCTGGGGAACCCGGGAGGTGAGCTTCCTTCTAGGACGCAGAGGAGTGGCTCCCGGGGTCACAGGCGCTCACCGTCCGGAAAGCAGCACCTGCCCTTGCCCAGCAGGGGTGAGGACTTCCTTCCCCGCGGCCGAAAAATGGACCCCCAACTGCCTCGCCCTCCCCACCTGACAGGCTCTAGCCCCGCCCCTCCACGAGGTCACCTGCAGTTCTGGACAGAGAGGGGCGGAACCTCAGGGAAGGGTCTGGCGACCTTCACCCCTTCACGGGCAGGTGATCTTTGGCAAACAGGCACAACTGAACGCAGCGAAGTGGTTCAGACGACAGTCCTGTACACCACCTATACAAGCTCTGTCTCAAACATTGAATGATTGGTTACATCAAGTAACTCCCCTCCTCCCTATCACCCCAGCTCTCCTCTAACTTGACACATGAAGTAATTTTGAGAATTGTTTAATTGGCACCCAGTTTCCTGAAGCACAAAGAGGAAATCGTGTGAAGTCGTATAGACCTGCACTGCTGAGACAAAGCAGAGGCCAGAAAGCCGCGAGCACTATGGGAAGGCAGGGAAGCGCAGCCTGCTTTCTCCTCTGTGTTTAGAGCTGAGGAGGTTTTCTTTCACAGCTTTTGAAAAGTAATAAAAACATTGTTCTTTCACATTCAAAAGAAAAAATAAAACAAATACAGAACAGCGAAAAAACGACGTGTCTGTTGAATTAAATTACCCATTAGAAGTTTTTTGTTTTGTTTTGTTTTTTAAGGCTTCTACTAGCCTATCTTTTCAATAGACTATTTCTGTTTTCAAAACTGTTAAGATGTAATAAATTGATATTCGATTTTATGATTTGAACAAATGCATCAAAACCCTTTCATGGTCTCTCACTCCTAAAAACTTTACTACTAAATGATCTCTCGCACAGAATTACGGCACGGTGAGAAGGACGGTCAGTTACAAGGTCGTGGTCTTGATGGTCTTCCGTTGCTCACTCCTTCAGAGTCAAGCTGCACCCCACAAAGATGGCTTATTAACTCTTTACATTCTGAAAATTAAAGAAATGTTTACTGTATACAGAAGGGAAAAAATTAAGTTAACATCAAGTCTATTGAGTAGAGAATATTTTCCAATGTGTACAGTTTGGGGGGGGGGAGAAGCCCTAAGTGAATATGTATTGTTAACATGGGTGCAGCCATGTCAAGACCCCAATACCTCAGACCCATGGGAGTGGCAAAGGCTTCCTCCGGTGAGGCTTAGAGGAGCATCAATATTATCTACAGTAGATGATGTTCTGGGCTGAGCTCCTAGTGAAAAGAACATAACACATAATAATGTATGCAATAATCTAAGAAAATTAAGCCTCTAACTTTAAAACTGCCAGAGAAGAATCCTGGCAGTGATCCCAACATGCTGCTCGGTAAATCTTTAAAGCTATAGCACGTAATTCAATGTGGAGTTAATATAACGATACAGCTGAAGTAAAACAGGCATACTGGCTCATACCTCTGGGGAGGCCCTGGGGAGGCAGAGGTCAACATGGGTCTACTAGTGATTTCCAAGCCAAATAAAGCTATGCAGTGAGACCCTATCTCAAAAAGGCAAAATAAATAAATGAATACATAAATAAATAGCATATATTCTTGAAGTCAGTGTATAAATATGTAATTCAATCAGTTAATTTCAAATTCTTATGGATATCTGCCAAACGATTCTTTTTAGTTTTAGCACAAATAGACTGCTGAACACAAGGAAGGAGCCACACAGCTCATCCTGGCCATTAGTTCAGCAATTGTCTCAACAGAGAAGCAGATTGCTGGCTGGCCTCCTCGGAAATTCCCTCTTTCCAGAAAACAAGGCAGACAGGCTTGTGTGGGGAAACCAGTCATATCTCTCTGTTGGTTTTGCTTTTGGTTATTTGGGGGTTTTGTTTTGGGGGGAGTCATTTTGTTTGGTGTTCAGATTCAGCACCATGTCTGCTACGGACAAAGTTCAAGAATGTAGGATTTCCCACAGGCAGTTAGAAGACTCTGGAAGTTACTCTTTTACAACAGATCAAAAGTAATCACAGACTAAATCTTATGATTATTGCTTCCGTTCTGTTTGGACTCGGGTTAGTCACATTAATGTTAAACCTTTATGTGTGCAGCTTGTCTTGAAAGCATTTGGCTTTTGCTTGGCGCAAACACTTTATTTGCATGATTTGATCTGCCTGTGTTCCTTTCTCATTAACCCCTCCGGAGAACCACACTACTCAGGGATACACCGTTCCCATGATGGAGTTTATTAAAAGCATAAGAAAATAACAGTTTGGGCCACTGAAAATGTTATTCACATGTGTACTACCGGAAAAAGAGGTTTTGCCTCCATAGGCAAATAATTCAGTTTAAGCACAGTAACAGACATGGGCCATGGCTTTGTCCAGAGAGTAGGATGTGCTGCCCTAATCACAGCCAAATGAAGACACTGACCCTTGAAATATGGTTTATCAAGTTAGTATTGACATGAAGATTATGATGCACCATTCTGAAGCTCTTGGATCATCAGTGTATGGCACACTGTAGGAATAAAGACTCCAGTCAAGATTACTTGTCACGCATGAAGGAAAAATGTTCCATCTCACACTAGATTATTTAAGCTTTTCACATTGTTTTTGGGCTACATTATTTAAACTACTTATATGTGTGGATGAACCAAAATGTAATGATATGATAATATTCATATTATTATGACTATTATGAAAAACATAGGTAAAACCCAAAGCTATAACAAAAATAAAATGACCAAAACCAAATCATTTATTCCTTTGTTATGCTGCGCCAGTACAAGTGATTGAGATTCAGTTTTTGCATAAATTGAACATTTCAGTTGTTTGAACGAATGCTTAATCAAGCCAACTTTATGTTTTGGTCCATAAACTTGTTTTAATCTAATATTTTTCATTGCAACATTCCCCATGTTACATGGAGTTTAGGTACTTTTAATATTTGTGTTGCATTGTTATTTATTTTGTGTGCATATGTGGCGGTAGATGTGTCATGGCTCCTGTGTGGTGGTCAGAGGACAACTTGCAAGAGTTAGATCTTTCCTTCCACCAAGCAGGTCCTAGGAATCAAACTCAAATCAGTCATCTTCATGGCAAGCCCTTTAACCCACAGAGCCATCTCACTGGTCCTGGATCTCAGTACTTGTGAGAACTCCAAAGTATGTAGGTAAAAGTTAAAGTTAGTTATCTTTCCTGTAAAGTGAAAAATTAACATGGAATAGAGATTATGGAAGAAAACATAGGAAAGTATTTTTGCAACCTTGGAGACAACAAAGAGTTCTAAGATGGGATACAGAAAGTAAAAACTCTTAAAAACTTGTTAATCTGAAATTTATCATAACTTAAAACCCTGTTCATCACAGAATCAAACCATAATACAAAACAAAAACTGAAGAAAATATTAAGAATCCGTTATCAGAAATGTATCAAGAATAAGTCAAGATGGGACTGGAAAGAAAGCTCAGCTGTTACGAGCATTGGCTACTCTTCCAGAGGACACAGGTTCATTCCTAGCACCCCCATGATGGCTCATAACTGTTCCAGGGGATCCACCTTCTCCTCTGACTTCTGAAGGCACCAGACACATGGTGCACAGACAGACAGACATGCAGGCAAAACACTCATATACATAAAATAAAATAAATCTAGAATATGTTAAATAATAAATCAAGAGATGTTTCTATATTTCATTATTAAAAATATGCCAAAGCATGGTAAAAATGTTTGTACAAACATGTCACAAAAATGTACACAAATGAAAATCAAAAACAATACAGAAAATGAAAAAAAAAGACATAAATGGCTACAACCAAATGAAAACAAATTCAACACCATTAATCATAAGAAAATTGCTAATGTCTAATGAATGCAATTCCACAGTACTAAGAAGGCAAGAACTAAGAATAAACAACACCAAACTCTGGCACTATGGGGTTCAGCTGGAGTTCCTAGGTGACATTGTTGGGGCCAGGGCTAAGGGGTATGTTTTTGAAGAACTGTTTAGCTTTTTCTATGTAATGATTCATGCTAATTGTCAACATTACAGAATTTAGACTCATGGGGAAAGTGGGCTTCTGGGGATTATCTTGATGATATTAGTTGAGGAGGCACCGAACTGAGCAATTCCCTCCTGTTCCTCACTGTGGATGTTACAAGGACCACCTCCTTCAGGGTCTTAGAGTCTATACTTCCTTCCATGGTGAAGGGTACCTTGAACTGTGAATGAAAATAAAGCCTTTCTCCTGAAATTACTTTCACCAGATTATTTTTTCACAGCAATAAGAAACTGATACACCTTACAAAGAAAAGCACATTATGATCCAGTAGCTTCTAAATATTTATACGGGAGGAATTAAGACTTAAGTCCACAAAGATTTGTATAACAAGGGGAAAGATTGTGTCATATTAACACAATGGAATGCTATTCAGCAACAAGAAAAAACATACTGCTGATATGCACAGAGTGGATGGATTTCACAGGCCTGGTGCATAAAAGAAGGCAATTAGAGAGGTTGTGTATCATGAATCCATTTAGAGAAATCTGTGAACAAGGGCCAGTGAGATGGCTCAGCGAGTAAAGGCACTTAGTTGCCACTGAGTGGCACTGATGGCCTGAGCTCTATCTCTGGGATCTACACAATAGATGAAGACAACCAGTTCTGACTCCACACATGACATGACATGCAGTGCCCTAGCCCCACGTTGGGCGCCATTCTTCTGTCTGAGGTTTCTGTTCCGCCCATTTGCCATAGTCGTTAAGTCCCAAAAGAAAGCACACAGAGTTGTACATTAGTTATAAACTGATTGGCCTAGTAGCTCAGACTTCTTATTAACTCTTACAACTTATATAGCCTATTATTCTTGTCTATTTTAGCCACAAGGCTCAGTACCTTATTCAGTGAGGCAGTCACATCTTGCTTCTTCTGTGGTTGGGTCATGACTCCAAGAATGGGCTTTCCTCTTCCCGGAATTTTCCTGTTTTCATTGCCCACTTCTACTTCCTGCCTGGTTGTTTCACCTATACTTCCTGCCTGGCTACTGGCCAATCAGTGTTTTATTAAAATACAAATGGCAGGGTGCAAACCATTGTCACATAGCCCTTCCCACCTAGAAACTCTGAATCTAATATCTTCGTTTAGCTTGTCTCCTGACCATTATCCATAACAATTTGTAACCAACAAGGGAAAATACCCATAGTCCATTTTTTGGGAATGTGGGCATAGTTTTCCAGGCTACTTCCTGCAGGTTGGGTGGTGCTGATAATCTTATGGGGACCTAAAGAAAATTTAAAATTATGATCAAGTCATGACTGGAGTAGGTATCCTATGAGGCTTGATCATCTCAGGCAGCAGTTTTGAATCTGTTCTGGATGTAGAACTCTGACATCTGGGCCATCTGTTCCTACCATAGATTTCTCAGCTGGTCTTCTTGATCAAACCTGATTTTTTTTAAACTCAGAATGAATCCACAGCCTCTCATTTCCTGTGGAAACAAAAGCAAAACCTCTTCTCCAAAGTAACATATCTTTTGACTTCAATCTTGAAGTCAGGGTATTTTTAAAATATTTATGTTTTATTAACCCAGCAGCATTTATATTCAAAACTTTTAGCAGCTTTTGTTCCTTCCTCAGTTATCAAACAATTCAAAGACAACACTAATATACAGTATCCAGACTCTCTGTGTATTTTCCATTTTTACGTGGAAATACAAATTTAATATTTTAAATTCTATTTGTTTTATTGTTACTTTTTAATTTTTGTTTTTTGTTTTTTTTTTTTTTTTTTTGAGACAGGGTTTCTCTGTGTATCTTTGGCTGTCCTGGGGAATTCCCTCTGTAGACCAAGCTGTCCTTAAACTCACAGAGACCTGTCTGTCTCTGTCTCCCAAATTCTGGGATTAAAGGTATGCACCACCACACCTAACTACTCTCTTTTTTTTTTTCTCAAGCAGGCATAAATTTTTAAACACACTGTAAACCATTTAGACGTTTTCTTTGTCTTTGAATCTATCTTTACTGTATATCTCTCTTTTCCTGACTACATGAGTCTTTAATTTGCTAGGCAATATGCAGAGGATTAAAGCCATGGCACTAGGGTGCAGCAATGATCAAGTCCCTATATTGCTTGCCTTACAGAGTCTGTAGAAGCAACACACAGTGAAAAGATATGCAAATGAAAGAGTAGATAACTCCAGCTGTCCCTGAAGACGGTGAAGATAAAGAATTTAGAGAATGAAATACCTGCCGGTATTTTACTGGAGGCTAAGGGAGGGTGTGTGAGTCACACATGTTCACAGGTCTAACTAGCCTAGGTTAGCTCCCTCGTGATCACAGAGCTCAGGGCTTACCTCTTTATTCTCATCGTACAAATGAAACACGAAAACAGGAAGCCATGGTTCACTCGCAGACATTTGTCTTCTCACACAGTCTTTTAGAAAGACAGACTTACCGTTCGTCAGACCATTAATAAATGAAAAGCACAGGCAGGTCAATTTCAAGACGAAGCACAGGTCATTATGCAGATCCTCCGTGTCCCTTCGGCTGAAACTCATTTCTCCTCAGGGTTTAAATATCTAAGGAGAGTTACCTAGTCAAAAGCGTGGGGATTTCTAAATCTATAAGCCCGAAGTACCCGTGAAAATGAGACTACATACCAACTGCATGCATCATATCGGGCAGGACAGGGAGTAAACATTCATGCTCTAACACTGGTCAGCACTTACTGCCCTGGAGCGGTTTCAGTCTCCCAGGTGAGCCACAGATCACTTTTTAAGCACCAGTTATGTACTGCTACAGGAGCATTGCTGTTTTTAATCTTTTTCCTTCGGTCTCCATCAATAAAGGGATGGAGGATTCAGTCTCTTGGAGTTTTAGCTATGTTTGACACCAGTGAAAAGTCAAAAATCGTAGTAATCTCGGTTAAGACAGCATATTCTTTACAAACCCTGTATTGATTTTGGTCAGCGTCGACTGCTATACAAACTGAGACAGGCGAAAGTATCTCCTGGCCTTGTAGTTTCTGCAGTGGACTTGGTACTGTCCTGAAAAATAGCACTGCTTTCTTCAGAAAACTCTCGGGCGGTCCAGGAAGGACAATGAACTCATGAGTCATGGTCTGCTCGGAAGCAGAGACTGCCGAGGACAAACACAATCTGTCCGGTGCTTTGATCGTTGTAAGAATGAAAACCAAAGCAGGAATCCTGAGTTGTCCTTTCTGGGCTCATCTTTTAGCAGTTTCTCTGTCCCAAACAACTCATGTGGGAGAGAGACTCATATTGATTATCAGCTGACTCGTCCTAGGCGAAAGACTGCGCTTGGGTTCTTTCACCTTAGGAAATGCTGACAGTGGGGATGATAGCTCTTGAGAAACTGTGAAGCAGGAAGGAAGGAATTAACTTGAACCAGACAACTGTGTATTCTTGATACTTGAACAGAACAGAAATGGGGGGGGGGGGGAGAAGATTATTTGCATAAATGTCAATAGTTTAAAAAGTAGGAGTAAGTTATACAGACAGAAGAGGAGGAGAGGAGAAGGAGAAGGACTCTCTTTTTTCTCCATATTCAAAGGTACAAGATCAATCAGTATCTACTGGGCTGGAGCTCCTTGGCGGAGAGCCTGCCTAGCATGTGGAAAGGCTGTATTCCATCCCCAACATTATCAAAGCGAAACATCTCTTCTGTAGACTATGACTCTTAGTCTGTGAGGCTGTTAGAAACACAGGTCTAGGGATCGGGGTATCCGAACTGGAGTCCTGGTTCTGCCATCAGATGGTGATATCTAGCATCCTACGTACTTGTTCATGGTTCCTTGAGCTGAGAACAAACCAACTTCATAAGATTAAAGTAAGATGGTGCATTCAGTGTGCCTGGCTCACAAAAGATACTCAAATAACTGTGGTTCATTTTCGGTCCTTTCCACGAAATTCTTATCACACAAGGCTTTGTGTAACCAGGTAGGCGGGTGTGTCTTATCTTTGCTCCTCCTCAGACTTTGACCTCTGCAATGACGGAGCTAGCAGCTTAGTCATTTCTGTTCCCCTGAACATTTCCTCACGCAGAAAAGGTTTCTGAAAAACTACGTGTTGAATGTTACTTTTTGTAACCCAGCAAGCAGTCACCATTTCAGCGAAAGAAAACCATCCCAAAATTCCCAATAATCTCCCTCTTTATTAGGCGGGAAGCTTTGACGTTTTAATCTGTCTCTCCCGATCATTTGATTAAATCAGTGGCTTTTCTACTTCAGGAGAGCAATCTGTTGAATCAATTGGACTGTTTTCATAATTCAGCCTTATTTATGTCCTGATTAGTGTGTGATATGCATGTTCACCCTATCCCCAAAAGCACAGCAGCAACCCCTTCTTCTTGTCAGCAGAACATACATGATCTGCACGGACAGATTTCTAACATGGCTGCCTATGTTAACACGGATGCTTTCCAGTCACACGCTGCACTACATTTCCCAGGAAGACCCACGCAGCAAGGGTCTCATAGGATTATAATGTAGCTGGATGAGGACCATGCAGCTGGAGAAGCGAAGAGAAAATGGAACTAGCAGGAAAAGGAAAAGTAACCCCAAGAAAACTCACAGTTGACAGGGTTAGAAGAACCTCAATGGATCCTTTAAAAAGTGCAAACGGGCTGGCAAGACGGCTCAGTGGGTAAAGAAGCTTGTTGCCAATCCCAAACGCTGCCAGTCCCAAACACCTGAATCCCAAATGCTGTCAGTCTCGAACACCTGAATTATCTCCACAAGGAGGCGAAAACTGACTTCTACAAGTCATCCTCCGACCTCCACATCACACACGCACACACCCAAAAATATAATTTTGTAAACATGTAGAAAATATGGAACCAACCATGAAACATTTTCATTAATGGTGAGAACACTTAGCCCTGTGCTGTCTACTTAGAAGCAAACCTAGAATGAAAAGAAAGACAGTCCCAAGAGAACCACAAAAGACACATTTCTGAAGTGGCACCTCCTCACGACCATCTCCAGGCACATCCTTCAGGGAATGTTATGGAAGATCTTGTTATCCAGGAACTGAACGCTCCATTGCCTGAACCTTCCGGTAGGGCCAGATGTGGAGGTAGAAGTCAGTGATAGAGATTATCCCAACTTCAAATTAGCCTACGCTAATTTGTGTGTTTGTTTCTTTAAAAAAAAAAAAAAAACAACAAACTTTGTTGATTTTTGGGAATTTCACATCACCTTATTCCCCTCACGTCCCAGTCCCTCTGTATCCTCTCTTTGCCCCTGCAGCACCCTCAAAAAGAAAATTTTAAAAAATCAAAACAAAACAAAGCAAAGAAAGCAAGAAAACAAACAAAAACAATAATAGAACAAAACAAAAACCAAATAAACCTCTTAGATCCTCCATCTTTCCTGACTCTCCAACACATCTTCATTCGTCCTGGTGGCACTGGGAGTCAAGGTGTGCCACACAGTGTACTCTTTTGGCCGATCGGTTTACTAGCAAATGTTCATTGCAGAGTTTATTGCACTGATCTGGTTCAAGGTCTCTGGTTGCTGGCACACCACCATCACTGGATCCCAGGGGAACTCCTCTCAGACATCCTCTGCTGCTGCCGTGAGTCACGAAGATCCTTCAGGTATCTTCCCTTCACAAACTCCAGCCAGTCCTAGACGGGGTAGATGTTAGGGTGGCCAACCCAAGGCCCAGGATGTGGGTCCGGTTTGTAGCTGAGTTGGTCAGTCCAGGCCACTGGGGCCATCGGCCTCAGGTGAGGGATAAAGCCAGCTCCCCTATGTTCATGCCTTCTTGGTCAGTTCTCCCTAGCCTGTGATGTGGGGTGGGGTCATCTCTCTGAAGCTTTCCCAGAGCCGGGAAGGGTAGGGCCAGCTCAGCATGGCCCTCTGATATCACACATGGTTCCTATGGTCCCCTGAAGTGATAGAAGCCACAGACATCAACACAGACCCCAGCTGCAGCAGGACCATGGAAAGACATGCCCCTCTGCAGCAGCTTGGGCCCTGCTGTCTCCAGGTGGAAGTGCTGGATACTCAGATCAGGATGGCTCTGGACACCTCAACACCAGCAGGGGCGCAGGTTGATGCCCCAACCCCAGCTTCTGTGTGCCCTTTGTGAAGTATGAGGTACAGGCCTCATACTTCAACACAGACCCCAGCTGCAGTAGGACCTTGGAACAGACTTGGCAGCAGATGAAAAAAAACAAACTAGTTTTTAATTATAATAGAAAAAGTCTATAGAGTCATGATATATTGAGAGAAAAATATTTTATACAATATATGAGTTTTAAGATTTTTAATTATTAGCCACAGAGAAACCCTGTCTCGAAAAACCAAAAAAAAAGATTTTTAATTATTTTGTGTATTTGTATGCAGCTCTGTGCATTTCTATACAGACATATGCTCTGGTGCCCACAGAGGCCAGCCCCAATAATACATATATTCTAAGCTAAGTATTTTCAAAAAGAGTCCAAAATCGTTAAATGCAAAAGTTTATAGCATGAAAATAAACATGATAAAAGTAGGCCTAGGGCAGTTAAGAGAGTACTATTCTTGCTGGGTGGTGGTGGAGGCAGAGGCAGGCAGATCTCTGTGAGTTTGAGGCCAGCCTGGTCTACAAGAGCTAGTTCCAGGACAGGCTCCAAAGTAACACAGAAAAACCCTATCTTGAAAGTTTAAAAAAAAAAAGAAAGAAAAGAAGAAAGAAAGAAAGAAAGAAAGAAAGAAAGGAAGGAAGGACGGATGGAAGAAAGAAAGAAAGAAAGAAAGAAAGAAAGAAAGAAAGAAAGAAGAAAAAGAAGAAGAAAAAAGAATATAGGATTATAGTACTCTTGTAGAGAACCTGAGTTTGGTTCCCAACACTCGCATCAGACAACTCATGACCACCTGTAACTCCAGCTACAGGGGATCCAACACCTCTCTTCCGGCCTCCTCGGGAACCTGCACTCACATACATATACCCGAACACATGTGTATTCTAAGCTAAGTTTAGACCTAAATTTTTATTTTCAATTAAGGAAGCAAGTGTGACCCGAGTGGCGAAGTCTGCAGAGTACACAGGAATGACCTCAGCTGTCACACCCACTCAAGTGCTCGGTTGACTCAGCTGGAGAAACTCGGAATGCTTCAAGCTGTTTATGGGAAGCACCCTGCAAAAGCAAGCCATGTTTTAGCTTTCACACAATGTACCTTTTCTATGTGTAGATGCCCACATACACAGATACTAAGCATCCGGTTTCACTGACCTACGGTATTCAGAAACAGTGTGCCGTAGAGCTGTGTAGGACAGATGCAGCAGGCTATACGATACGGTCACCTGGACAGCAGTCTACAGCATCCGGGTTTATATAAGCACACTGCAATAAGTACACACCAGAAAGTCACAACTGTACTCTTTCTTTAAAAAAGAATCCCTGTTTTGTTGGAACGGTGTATAGGATTCTGCCTTTCATTCCTTCTGGTTGAGTGTGGAGGTTTGCACACTCACTTTGAAAACTACCAAAATCCGTTAGAGTGGAACACATGCACCGTCCGGTCTAGCAACACCACACCTATGTTCTCACAACCAAATACTGCACTACGTCGGAATTTTGAAAACAAAACAGCACTCAAAAGAGGCCGAAGAGAAATGCATTTATTTTGTTTAATAGTCTGTTCTGCTTTGCGGGTTCTTGAAAAAAGAGAAAGTCGTCCTCAGGATGGCCATTGTCTCTGAAGAAGGAAGGAGGGACAAGGCACAGACTCTGGAACTATTCTGTCGCCTGGTGCTGTGAATACACTGTCACACCCATTTTCCAATAAGGCCACCACATCCTTCTCATTTGTGTGCTTTCCTATGTGCTGGACTTTCGTAAATATTCATTGTAAAAAATAACAGTTATCTACTTTGTGACAAATTGCATCCCATCTCGAAGGCTTTCTCACACTCATAAACATTTCTCTTTTTCTATTTATTTCATCCCCGTTCTTGGGCACTTATCCACTCTTCCTGATTGGAAGTCTGCGGTTAGAAGCTGAGTGTACTTGTCCTTTGGGTTCCTGAAAATCTTTACATGCACTAGACACTTAATAAATACTGCACTGAAATAAAAAAAGAAACAGTATGCTAAAAAGCTTTCCAAGAAATTTGAAGCCAAGATGTTGCCAAGCA